CCAGATTTGCAAGAATCATGGGAATACTTGGCATTGGGTAGCGATCAGCAATGGTTCGCTCATTTAATTTGCGAAAATCAATTACCAGCCGCTTATTCCTGTTGCCACTGGCATCAGTTGCTTTTTTGTCTACAACCCATACAGGGCTGCTATATGGGGATCTTGATGGCCTAATGATGCCATCTTTCAGCAATTGCTTAATTTCGTTATTCACGAAGTGCGCTACTCCCATAGAGTAAGGGTATAATTTTGAATAAATTGGCTGGCTGTCTTCTGTGCGAATCGTAGCTACTATCGATGTGTTAAACGGTAGTGCCTCATTGGGGCTCGAAAAAACTTTGATTCTGTTAAGAATTACGCTTCTGAACTCCTTACGCACGGTGTGTGGCACAACTATGTCATCGACATGGGTAAAATTGACATTGTCGCAGCTCTGGTACTGTAACTTTTTTGCTACATCCCCATATACTATTAAATTTTGCTTCAAATCCAGCGTTGCCCCCACCTGTGTTAACTGATCAAGGCCTATTATCCCATCAAACGCTGTTAACGAATTTAATAAAAAGAAAGGAGTTTTAACTCCAAAAATATGCATCTGACACTTTTGCCGGATGGCGTTAGAACCGTCTATTGAACTAACGGTAAATGGAGAGTCGACTTAAACTATTCCTTAAAGGCCACTTATAGGCTGGAGCGTGCACTAAAAAATTAAGTGAGTCACGTTCACTATCCGACTCAAGGTCGTCAACAATAGCTGCAGCTGCCGCTGAAGCCACCTCCCCGTACTTCTGGGTGTCCTGCTCTTGGGCTTGTTGATTGATATTATTCAATCTCTGACGCCTTTGACCAGTCATACGCTCGGAGGGGTTTCGTCTCTTGTAGGTTTGTACAGTATTAGACTGAGGTTTCCCGAAATCAGTGCGCTGCCTAAATTTGGAGGACAAGTCTATGGCTCTGGGCTTTGAACTTGGGTAACCACAGCATTTTTTTCTTGTTCATCGCTGCCTTGCTGCTGTTTCTTGACAAAATGAGGGATTTTTCATGGCCATGACCCCGTTCGTCCCTGAAGTTTTTGCCATGCCTAGCCTGTGAACGACTTTTTTCAATCCCTTAAGCCTTTTCCTCTATAGCTTTGGCGTACGAAGCCGAAAATACACTACGCACACCAACAATGCTCTTGCCGGACCCTTAATTTTATTCCTAATAATCGTGACTGCCTGATAATATGCACAGTTACCACTAAAAGGTGCAAAGAGTTCATATGCGTCTGTGGCTGATTGCCTCCACGCCACATACTCATCTTGCACGCCACTAAAGTCTGGGATAGATTTGATAATGTCAAGCGGGATGTCGTACCTCACCGCTGGGTCTACTGAAATTCGTTGGTACGTTTCAACGTGTGGCGCCTCCACGAGCGGCGAATTGCAAGAGATTTTCGAACTGCCTCGAAGACACTAAACTGTACGTTTCCACGCTGCTGCTTTAAACAAAAAAAAAATGTGATCCACGCATGCGTACGACGATTTGTGCTTTTATGTGACCTTTATTGAAAATTTGAGCGATTAAAAGTTTTGTTTCAGAACAAATCACTTACAATTTCTTCTCTAGGTGTGGGTAATAAGTGTTGGGCGCCAGTAAAGCTTCTACATATAAGGTGCTGCCAGGGGACCTTTTCGTCACGGCTGCTGTCCGACTCCAGTCAGGGTATGGATCAACTTGCCAGCTCCTGCAAGGGAATTGCCGGGGTATCCACTGTCGAAGCCGCTCCAGTTGTGGAGCAAGAATATGAAGATTAGGTTTGGTATCTGGGTACCAGTTACTAGCCTTGTGGCTTAGCAACAATAAATAAGAAGATCAGCTATAGCTGGTGTAGAAGTTTATTTCAAGCTTCTGCTTGCTTTACGTGCCAAGTACCACTTGGTTACAAAAATTAGTATACTTAAACTACGATATGAAGGGTGATTATGCTAAGGAGAGAGAGAGAGAGAGAGAGAGAGAGAGAGATAAAGAAATGAGCATAAGCTACCAAGTGTAGACGGCCAGCCGACTTAGCATACGTGATAATGCTGCTCTCGCATTGGGAGCGAGCGACAGTATATCACTGCAATTCACCTGCTAGCTCAGCGCGAGGGTAACTTGTTTACTTATATACGAACTATTTCAAAAATTAAATATTATTGAAAACATTAACATAATGATTGATTTGCGTATATCTTTAAAAGCATTGAAGCTATAATGATTTGCAGCTCAATTATTCGAGAGTTCCTATGACAGCTATACAATATCGTTTTCCGATTTTAATTTTAATTCTGAACTGTTAAATTATTAATAAAATTAGTTATTAGTCACAAAGAATTAAATATTTTACCATTACTATATGTCGAAGAACTAAAAAAAAAAAATTTTAAAATAGCACAATTTTTTTATACCCTTGCAGAGGGTATTATAATTTCAGTCAGAAGTTTGCAATACAGTGAAGGAGACATTTCCGACGTATATATATTCTTGATCAGCATCACTAGGAGAGTCGATTTAGCCATGTCCGTCTGTCCGTCCGTCCATCCGTCCGTCTGTCCGTCTTTTTCTACGCAAACTAGTTTCTTAGTCTTAAAGCTATCTGCATGAAACTTTCCCAAAAGTTGTCTTTCTATTGCAGGTAGTATATAAGTCGGAACGAGCCGGATCGGACGACTATAGCGTATAGCTCCCAAAGGAACTATCGGAAAAATAAATTGAAAAAAAATTAGAACTTGGCTGGTTTTTAATTTTCTTTTTTTGCGGTTTTAATTTCATCAAAATCGGAAGACTACATCATATAGCTTCCATAGGAACAATCGGAAAAATAAGTAAAAAAAATTATAACTATGATGTTTTTTAATTTTTTTTTAGTACTTCGACGTATAGTAATGGTTAAATATTTCAGAATTATGGTTTAAATTTCATCAAAATCGGACGACTATATCATATAGCTCCCATGGAAACAATAAAAATAAAATTTTTTTTAAATTTAAATGTATCTTTTCTATTTTGTAATTTTTTTTTTTAAATTCTTGTTGACTTATTAATAATTTGTCAGTTCAGAATTACGCTTTTAATTTTATTAAAATCGGAAAACGATATCATATAATTGCCGTAGGAACTATCGAATAATTAAGCTGTAAATCCTCATATCTTCAATGTCTTTAAGCATACACGCAATTAATTGATAATTTTAATGTTTTCAAGAACATTTAATTTAAGGGTATATAAACTTTGCTTCCTTTCGTATTTAATTTTATTTCTCGAGATATAGTAATGGTTAAACATTTCAGAATTACGGTTTAAATTTCATCAAAATCAGACGACTATAACATAAAACTCCCATTAAAACAATAAAAATATTAAAAAAAATGTTTAATTTAACTTTTTTATTTTTTTTTTTATAATTTCTTTTTGATGAATTAATAATTTGACAGTTAAGAATTACCCTTTTAATTTTATTAATATCGGAAAACGATATCAGCTGCCATTTGAACTATCAAATAATTGAGCTGCAAATCATTATAGCTTCAATGTAAACATACACGAAAGTAAATCATAATTTTAATGTTTTCAAGAATATTAATTTTTGCAATAGCTCCAAGGGTAACCGAATTTAGGCTTGTCGAAGTTTGCTTCCTTTCTTGTTTAATTTATTTTCCGTTTGTCCCTATGGGAGCTTTATGCTATAGTCCGATCCGGCTGGTTCCGACTTATATACTTCCTGCAATAGAAAGACAACTTTTTGGAAAGTGTCATGCAGATAGCTTTAAAACTGAGAGACTAGTTTGCGTAAAAAGGGACGGACAGACGGACGTATCAAGATCCTTTCCTAGTATTGCTGATTAAGAATATATATACTTTATAGGGTCGGAAATGTTTCCTTCACTGCGTTGCAAACTTCAGATTGAAATTATAATATCCTCTGCAAGGGTATGAAAACAGGCCAAAAAGTTATGACAGAAAAACTAGTTTTAGGGCCCTTTACCCCAAAAACCACCAAAAAATTATCTTCAATGGACCACGATATCTTAAGAATTTACATTATGAAAGAATTTTGCAGTCGGATATGGTTTCCTTGTAATCAAATTTCAAAGTTCCGTGTTTTGGCTTTACTAAAAGTAGTCTTTTCTTCGAATTACAATAAAAAATACTGGCTTTTCATTTGTTGTCAAAATGATAAAAACATTTAAAACTATTGCGGGCCAGGTCCAACAACGGCAAACAAACTCTCGCGGTTTCATAAAAGCTATTTTTCGTCATTATTTTAATCTATATATGTCTGAGAAAAAGTATTTTGCCGATTAATATTTTCTCGCATTTTCCTGGTAGCCGTCAGGTATGTCAATCAAGTAATACACCATAATTTACCTTTAAACGCGTTTTCCCGAAAGTAGTGTTTTTTTAGCTGCCGATAAAAAGTCTTATAGAAGGTTTTTTCCAATTATAATATATTTTTAAATTTTTCACTAAATATACCGCAACGTTTTTCGAAATTTGTTTTGTTCAATTTGTTCAATAGGTCAAAAAATTACTCAAAAAGTTTAATTTTTCACTTATTGTTGCATATCTTTTGCTAATAGAGATAGTAGAAGACTTACGTAAAAAATAGCGTGACCATGGATGACGAGTAAAAAATAAGTCCATATTATTATAAATGATCATATATATAAAAAAAAAACAATTTAAAACGGAGTTTTCTTAAAATGAGGGCTTTACTATAACAAAAAAAATCTATCGAGCCATTACCAATAGGATCCACAAACACGTGGTGGTAACTATTCTTGTTTTTATGAAGCAAAATTCTTACTGTATACTCTCTCCAACCCCTAGCATTAAAATAAGCCAATGGGGGAATTTCAATTACTTTCCCCAGCTGACGGAGTGGCGCAACAAAGCGTCGTGTTTACGAATGGTTGAGCACGAGACTCAGCCTTTTTAAGCCTTCTAACTTCTTTGCAGTCACAATCAGACCTTTTAGCGCGGCGGTCGAATTAAACTTAAGAAATATATGCACGGGATCTTATTAACACTAGAATGTACCGTGAGCTGACGCCGTTTTATACTTATTATCATAAGTTTTTCGAAAAAAAAATCCATAATTAAAAGAAAATTGACTTAGACATCGCGTACGGTGTTACAGAACTGTTTAATATCGGTTAGTTTATCATTATTTCATTATATTTATTTATAATGATCAACGACTAGGGCCATGCCTATTAAAAAAAGCTTGCTACGAGTATAAAGTAAGTAAATGTACAAACTCTGCAAAACAAATTTTTATTTTTTTTAAAGCTTAACTTTAACATTAACAGTATCACGGTAATATAATGTCATGTTTTTTGAGTTCAAGCATTCGTTTTACTTAATAAATCGGATTTGGAAATTTCACTTTTCAATACTTATTAACATAACATCATATATCGATGAGTAACACATTTGTAGTCGGAGTGTCTTTTTTAAGCTTGTCTTAATTTGACTTTTTAAAAAGCGTAGAAGACAAATTATCCTTATTTTAATGGTCTTGAGCGTGGTATAATATAATACTGCATCGCAGTAAAAAAGGCACTTCCGATCCTATAAAGTACATAAAATCTTAATCAGCAACACCAGACGAGTCGATCAAGCTATGTTCACATGTACTTCTGTGCGCAACGCAAACTTGTCAGTCAGTTTTCAAGCTATCTGATTGAATCTTTCGCAAGCCTTTTTTGTTTCTTTTACCGGTTACATATTTGTAGGAACGGTACTGATAGCAAGAGTAAACCTTCCAAAGATATAATCAAAAAATGAATAAATAAAACATAAACTGCAAGGTAAAATTAATTTATACCGTCTAAATTTAAGTACAATTTGAGGTCTATATAATATAGCTGCCTTTGAATAGATCCGAGAGCGAATAGGAAAAAAATATAAACTTTTTAAAACAAACGCATATAACTTGACAGATGGGAGAGTGGGGACAAGCCGACAGTTGGGGTAAAGGCGACACCCCACTGTATCTGCCGATAGAGAAAATGACAGAATTGATGATTTGTTGATCCGTTCAAAAAATATTAAGAAAATATGGTTTTTTTTGTATTTTTAAAAATGAAAACCAATTATTGAATGTTTGCATTAGGTGGAGTACTTTGGGTCCTGGAATCCTTTTTGCAGCTATTTAAAAAAAAATAAACATTCTATAAAACGATTTGATAACAAGGCAATCAAATAATTACTTTAAAGAAATATTTGACTCCTCGAAATCTCTACAGGCTCAGATATGCGGCCTCGGGCCCTTTGAAACTTTGAAAGTGGGCGTTATGTCACACACCCAAATTAAAACGGTTACAATTATTTTTGCGTATTTGATTTAAAACAATATAGCAATGTCAGCTTAATAATACGCTATAAATCGCAAAAATATCTATATTTTTGTTATATTCATACATTTAAAATTAATTTAAATTAAATTTAATTTATGCGGTTCTTATCAATCTTTTTATCCTCTCTTTGCCCAAAAAAAATAATTTTTTCACAATTATAAAAGCTATAGAATCTACAAAAGAATTTTTCTATGCGATCAACATATATTTAATTAGGTCGTTTTAAACGCACCTAAAGTACGTTGTAAGGCTTTTTAAAAACAATAACTCTTCTGTAAAATTTAAAGGTTAAAATTTTTTTTGTGCGTCTTATAGAACAAGTGTATATCTTTGCAGCTGTAGCAAAGTTAAATATTTTTAAAAATCTAAAGTTTAAAATTTGTGCGTACCCATTGAAACCATTGAATCTCATTGAAGCAATGATTTTTATCTTTTTAAACCAATTAAAAGTCCAAAATAATAAAAATAAAACTTTTTAAATTAGAGAAATTACACTTTTTTCCGTTTTTTTTAAGTATTCCATTGTTTCCATGGAGCTATATGATAAAATAATCCGATTCAAGCCTTAATTCCAAAATAATAAACAATCACTGAACATCGAGAAACTAAAAAAACAAAAACAAAATAAAGCACAGAAATAATTTTTTTTTCAGTTACAAGTACGGACATTTATTTCTTGCGTTAGAAGGTATATTTAAAAAAAAAAAATTAAAATGAGAACTATATTATATAATCTTCTGGTTTTCATAAAAAAACCGTATTTCTGAAATATTAAACTATTACAAAGTTTAAAAAAAAAAATTTTTTTAAAAAAACAACGGGAAGTTCTAATTTTTGTTTCATTAATTTTTCCGATTATTCTTATGAGTGCTTGATGATAAAGTCGTCCGATGTGGCTCGTTCCGACTTATATACTATGTACCTGTAAAGAGAAGACAACTTTTGGGCCAGTTTCAAGCAGATCGATTTAAAACTGGAAGACTAATTTCAGTAGAAAAGACAAAGGATCTTTTCATTTCAGATCCGTGCAAGCGGGTTGGCACTTGATGTTCGGTAAAGGCCCGCATTTTTTCAGCCGCCAATTTGAGTTTTGTAGCTATAAAAATATCTCCGTGTTATATAATACAACGGCAAAAAAAAACAGAAGTTCGTATGTTTTTTCATCATGTTTAAAAACAAAAAAAGTGGAAGTAAGTATATAAGTTATAAAATAAGTAGCAATAGTATAACCTTGTCTTATTATGCGCCCTGTTTCCCATTTTCTGTCCCAAAAAAGTAGTCTTATCCTTTCTATTTTCTATCAGAACACAAGAGTCATGCTTAGTAAGCTTACTAAATTAAACTCTGATAGTGTTTCCCTTCCGTCCACCTTTATTGTCCTTACAAGAACTTGGTTTAAGCTGGAGATTCTCAGCTCCGAAGTTCTATTGGAAAAATGTGAAATGGTTGTTAAACGAATGCAATGCCTTTGTAAGGTTAACTATCATCGTTAAAATACATTAGAAGAAGTGTTCTTTACAAAAACAACTTATTTGTGCGCGTGGTCAGACTATGGAATGTTTGAACATACTTCTTAAAAATGATCACAAAATCTTCACAGTTTAACAGTACATTACTTTATTTATGTAGTTATAATAAATTATTTTGTTTAAGTTAAGTTTTAAGTATTTTTTTATATTGTAGCTCTGAAAGACAAAGTCAAATAAATATAAATCAAGCAATTCCCGATATCTTAGCGCAGATTTATACTTATGCCATGTTCAAGTGATCCTTAGTTTTTTGTACGAGTTTAAGGAAAAGCTCCCTTCGTTTGAATCTCCAATGTAATATAACAAAAAAAAAAAGAAAAATAATACGAGAAGAAGCAAATACAATGTTGTCTCTAAGCTGTCTGGTGCCCACAAGATTTTTGTAAACGATTTTACTCAGACTTGAAGACTTAAGGAATAATAATATTTTTTTAAAGCGCTCGATCCTGTAAATCGCTCGCTTCTTGTAAAGAAGTAAGTCTTTTAAGATAATATAAACTTTCCTGTTATATAACCAAATTACAAAAGATGTAAGTGTTTCTCCAGCTTACTGATAATATCAATGTTAATCGTTGTCTCTGTTAGCAGCACGACTAACTGTAGAAGCTATCTTACTACAAATCGGTCGTTCTGCGAACTGGATTTTCTGATCATGGTTAGTTATAGTTTGTATTTTTTTATTGTCTAATAAACAAAGGGATATGATCTTACAAGTTGACTATAGTTATTTAAAAAGGTTTAAATACAAACTGTTTTGATTTTTCTAAAATTAATAAATTTTGTTTAACCATATCCAATGCCGTAATAAAATTTGTCATTTCTTTTTATTTTTGTTATCATGTAAGGGCATTTTTTTTTTGGAATTCATTTTCTAAAGACTCCTGCCGTGCAATCGAAGTTCTTAACCATCAAGTAGTCGCATTTTTTATAGTTTTTGGGTTTTGACTTCTTTTTATCGTAGTGTATTCCTGTGCTTTTATTTGACCTTTCATAGCCTCTCTTCTAATCGTTTCTAAACTCTTTGATTCAACTATATCATATTCTTCTTCTAACTTCTTTCTACACGAGTGTCAGCTATTTTCAACAAGCTTAACGCAGTGAATGAGACGTTTTGGACCCCATAATTTATATATGTTCTTGATCGGGATCAATATGATCAATATGAGTCGTATAGCCATGTCCGTCTGTCTGTCTCTTTCAATATCGTTTGCGAGCTCAGTTTAAAAGCTAGCGATCTGAAACTTTCACAGTCGTCCTAAACCATGTGTAGTTTGAAAAACGCCCAGATCATACGTTTATATCCTATAGCTCCTATAGAGCAATCGGATATAACTTTTAAGAATTGAAGATATTTCGCGCAGTGTTAGGCTAATGCCATTCATCTTTTCAAATCGTATTGTTTTATGCATACCTTGTTTAAAGAAACAATAGGAATCGCTTAAAATTTAATACTTTTCAGGATAATTCGCGCAGTATATAAGCTGTTGACATGAATCTCTTCAAATCTATTTTTCTACCTTAGTTGTTGTACTGTGTGTGTTTTGGTCATATCTATCGGTAGACACCAAAGTTCAAAATGAAGGCATTAGAATCCCTTATAAGTTATGTATTTTTCTATCGCTGCTCAGCCACCGATCGGCCGCTGTGCTGCCTGTGGTAGCACATCACAAAGAGAGAACAATAGAACTGTAGTTGGGGGTGGAGATGCAGCACGCTCTTAGCTTCTAGTGTTGGCTATGCTATTCCACAGATGGCGCCACCTAGGCTCCGACTGTTCTGTGGAAGAATATTTTGTTGTTTTTTTTCTTTCTTGTCTTTTTTAGCTTTCTATACTTTTTTGATATAAAGGACAATGTGGACCGTCTAACCGCTCTAGATGGTTTGTTATAGTAACATTAAAATGCGAGCTTAGCCATGAGAAATTTCTTCGCTTGAATAGTTTAAGGTTTCTTTTGGACTTAAACCATCTTTAAGATATTTTTTAACACTTGCTACTTCTTTTCTCAACTAAAATCGACCCTTTCATAAAATTCAACATTTTAATCTACATTGCATTTACTTACACTTCTCATATCCATTTTTTTAGAAATTTGCAGTTGAAAAATGTGAGGAACCTTAAAAGATACATTTCTGATCCACTATAACACATATATTAAGCTTATAGGAAAAAAAATTTAATGGCTAACAGCTTAAAGATTAACAGTAATATAATTTTCATATTTTTGTACTATATTTCAACATAACGGTAAAACCCAGATGCATTATAGTTCAAAATTCTTCTGGATTCAACATCAGGCATAAGAGGTTCTCTATTATCATCAGGTTCAGCAGAAGAACTTACTGATACCGCCA